CCAGCATCATCTTAAGTATTATACAGACTAGTAATTTCGCAAGACGATTACAGATTATTTTAACCGCCCGTCAAAACATCGGCCGGTCATATATGTTGGTCGCGGTGAAGCCGCTGCCGCAAATGCTACGAAGCGTTTCTCTCCTTCTATCTTTTCTGAAAGAAAGGACAGGATTACCTTGAAACGTTCGAAGCGACAGCTAGACCGCAGCCATAATCCGCTACTGTGCCCACGTGGAGGCGTGTTCCATTCGCCGCGGCGTATTTACGTTCACTGCAATATTAATTGTTTAGGAATAAAAATTTATGTTTCTGCGCACATTTATCTCTCGACATTTGTTCTGGTTTTCATTTAACTTAACGTTGCCGACTTCCCCCGGACCAGCCGTTGGCCGAGCTTGTTATAGCTCGTTATCGTAGGATCCAAAGTCCACCGAGATAATTTCTTGAGATTCATCGCGAAGATCTGCCCCCGCGCCAGTCCAGGTATAAAGTGCACGACGCGTTTAGAGGACCTTCAGTGGAAAATTGAAGCTCGAAAATGTTGAAGGTATGTTCGTCGCACAAACACCGTCGTTTCTACTTTATTCGTGCCTCTATCTTTTATTGGAGCAATTTGCCACAGTTGTTTTATGTCTCTGATCAATTGCAGCTGTTTACGATTTATTATATATGTTTTTTTTTATCAGCAACAGTATTTTACATTTTTCGCATAAGAAACGTAATATAAGATTGCCTTGGTTTTTTTAGGATATATATATATATATATATATATATATATATATATATATATATATATGTATATATAACGTGTCTCCGATGACCGAACTTTTATCTTCTAATCCTTCAGACACAATTTGATGAGATTGCCTTGAACTTGACTCAAGGGTTATGTCATCCTATGTTTGTTTTTGGACGATTACGTCGGTCCAAGGTCGGTCCGAGCATATGACAGCTTATTTAGGTTGCACTTTGATACCCGCGCCTTAGACTTTCAACATTGAATGTGGTCTTGAAAACGAAACTTGTTGAGCAACTCGCGAGTACTTAGGCTGCAGCTGTGGTGCTCGTAAGATGTTTCTCTCCAAAGAGGAATCATTTTGATCTAGACTTTATATCCGGGACGGCAGCATTGAGGATAATCGCGTGTGAAAGTTAAAGCAATTGTACTTGGCGTCCAAATGCAAATGTATCGAGTGGTTTTATTTGTTGCAGGGTGTTGTGGCTCTTGTGACCGGCGGTGCCTCTGGGCTGGGCCGTGGCACTGTAGAGAGATTCATCAAGCAAGGTGCGAAGGTAGTCATTGCTGATTTACCTGTTTCGAAAGGTAAAGCCGTGGCCGCTGAATTGGGAGAAACTAATGCAGTATTTGCACCTATGGACGTATGTTTAATATAGAATTGTCACATAGTTATGTAATTCTAACATACAAGATGGAGAACATATCTTGCTATCTTTAAACTGTTCTTTACTAGATTATTTATCAGAGAAATTTGTAGCTCTGGCAGCATGACTATTATTAAATTATTATTAAAAATTATATTGAAACTATATACCTAGTATTTAAAAACTAAAACTTGTAATTTATTGTTGTTATGTTCTCTTATATTTATTATACATATATTATATGTTCTTACCTTATTATTATCTCTCCGTTAAATATAAATCTTATCTCTCTTCAAGGTAACTTCGGAAGCTGATGTCCAAGCTGCTCTTGATCTTACAAAACAAAAATTTGGTAAGCTTGACGTTCTCGTCAACGCGGCTGGTATCGCCATAGCCCACAAGACATATAACAGTAATAAGAAAATTCCACACAATCTGGAGGACTTCTCGAAAGTTATCCAAGTCAATACCATCGGCACCTTCAACGCCATTCGCCTCTCGGTCGGCTTGATGATTGAAAACACACCTAATCAAGATGGCCAAAAAGGTGTAATTGTTAACACTGCAAGTGTCGCGGCTTTCGACGGTCAGATGGGACAGGCTGCTTATTCTGCTTCGAAAGGCGCAATCGTAGGTAATGTCTCACTTTATTTTCGTATTCTCTTTACTTATTATTTAGCCGCTTAGCTTTTTGTTTTATACAATTTATATTTTTTGTAGGAATGACTTTACCTATTGCTCGCGATCTTGCCAAGGATGGAATTCGCGTTGTAACAATTGCTCCCGGACTTTTTGACACTCCGTTATTACAAGCGCTGCCAGACAAAGTGCGCACCTTTTTGGCAAAGAGCATACCATTTCCTCAAAGATTAGGGAGTCCCGATGAGTATGCGATGTTGGTGCAGCAGATCGTTGAAAACCCCTTACTAAACGGGGAGACAATCAGATTGGATGGTGCTTTGCGAATGCAAGCTTAAGAGCTGCTAGTTTTTCCTACCGATAGAATTTCAGTATCAGGAATCATTTACGAGTCTTGTTGATATTTTGTATCTGCATATACGAGCATATATATATATATATACAATAAAATTTTAAACTTTTCTACAAACTTTAATTTTTTCATAATATATATAGTACGTGACGTTCCCTAACAAAGTAAAAGACCATTTAATTTTGACATATAGATTGATTATACATTTTCAGTATGTTGGACGAGGAAAGTGAAAATGAAAGATGAGGATTATTGAATGAATAGTCCTTTTTACATGCAACACCAGTGTAATTCCTTTGAAATGTACGTCCTTTATAATACACAGGTATCGACAATTCTTTCTATTATCCCGTTTCACTGTACATCATCTCCTACGAAAGAAAATCGCCACTTCCGTTCCCTTTGTCAGCTTTATTAACTCAAGAGTTTAATCAACTCATGAAAGCTCAATTTGTCCTAAGATAGGACAAAATAATTCTTCTAACCTTTTATTAATCGGTCAACACAAAGAAATCTTAGTGACCTTATATAAAGTTTTACATAAAGTCTTGGTGATCTTGTCTATTAATTTTTTCTATCCTTTGTGACTGTCTTGATTTTAAATCTCCTATACTTCAAATTATCCCTTACTCAACTTAATCATTTTTCCTCAATTAATTTGCCCTCTTCTCCAGGATGTTAATAAATCAGTATGGTAATCGATAAATAGCTTCGCAATTGAATCTTGCCTTATGATCCTGATTAGTTAATAAAGATATATAACGTACATTATTTCCAAAGTAGTTACGATTCAAATCTTATTCTGGACATTTTCCCGTACGTTTGGTACGCGAAAATAATTCTTATGCTTATATAGCCGTAATTTAGACAGTCTTCAGCATCACTTGATCTATTAACATCCATTACTCTATAGATAGTTCAGTCACAATTCCAAATGTCTTTATTCTCACCACTACTCGATCACCATAAGAACCTTATGAATTTCAGATAGAGTCTTAGTGTGAGTTTATTACAGTTAGTCTTTTTTTCCTAGCACCTCAGGTGATCGCCAGAAGTCTAGCAGATGTCGAAAGTTGTCGGGGTGGCCATCGGGCAAGTTAATTCTGCCCTTATTGGCCCCGGGGCCCAGTCAGCCCTAGGCGTTCGATTCTTTGAGCGTCTGCAATTTCTCCAGTTGATCCGGCTGCAGTTCATCCGGAATACTGGCTCTTCCCCCTATCAGCATTTTCCCTGGCACGATTTCCTCCTCTTCCAGGACCTCTGCGGCTTCTTCCGTCACTTCTACTACCGTTCCCCTTGACTGAGAATTCTCGTTGGTGCTGGGACCGGAAGTTGAATCCGCATCGCTTCCAGAACTGCTGCTGATTGGAAATGGTGCCGAGTCAGCTGGAAGTTCGTCAATTGTAGATTTTTCTTCAGTTTCTTCTTCTTTCTCGTCCAGGATGACGGTCGGCTCTTCTTCTTTACATTCGCTTTCAATTGGATCTGAACCCGCACTTGAAGCTTCAGGATCGGCCTCGAAGGCTTCTGCAGATTTTGCCGAGTCTTCCGGAGTCTCCTCCGGCCCAGGGAAGGGATGTTCGACCTCGTCCATCGGAGTTGCAGCTGTGATCACGATCTGAGCCACTCCAAGACCAAAATCGTCTGTTTGACTAGTCTCTTTACCGGACTTGGGATCCTCGGGCTTTTCCGTCTGCAAATTAAACGAGGTTTTATTCTTGATACAAGATAAATCTCCGTAACTCTTATGCATGAATATATTTTATATGACATAGAAAAACGACATAATTATTATAGAAATAAAATTAGATTTTGATCTCTGATTTTATTAATCATAAGAAACGTTCGTAGCATTAATATTAAACATTCGATAAGAATTGCATGCTTTTTGTAAGAAAAAAAATATTAAAATTAAATATTTAAATAGTCTTTTACATTGTACCAAATTACCTTATCACCTGATTCATCTGATACCTCCACGACTGTGCAGCAAGTCATAATGTTTCATAGATTAAAATGAATAATACCCGCTATATTTCGAATAAGGCTTTTATCATTTCGGGGAATTTAATTTAATTTGAAAACTCACCTAATATACCTGGTGTTGCGTCAGGCTTATCTTCCCCAAACTGTGAACCATATTGCTCCTTTTGGTCTTGAGACAGATTTATCATGAATCTACTATCACCATTCGTCATTGACTTTTCTTCTTGCGATTCTATAATAGACACATGTAATACATAAATTAATGTATATGTGAAACAATTATAGGCAATATATAAAAGTAGTCAATTACCGTCCATTTGAGCAAACTCATCATCTAGCAAAAATTCTGCTGCTACTTGCGGTGGGGTAAAGACTGGTGGTGCGGAACTCGGTGGTGTTAAGTTCTCCTGAAATAATAAAAATTTTATATCACTTTTTTCTGTTAAAATTAGTTATAAGTTGATTATTCGATTTATAATTTTGATTCTGATCTATTTAAAACAATACTATTTGATTTCTCACCTGTGGGGTCAAAGGACAGCCGTCTGGACCGCAAGGTTCCACGACGAGAGAGGGAAAAAGGCCCTGTTGATCTCTCAGTTCACCTTCCCACCAGCCATCGTCTACATCGTGTGGTTCTTTTTTCAACACCTTAACGATGTCGCCTTCCAAAAAGCTCAGCTCCTCGTCGCATGTCGCATCGTAATCGTAAAGTGCGATGCAGTATTGCTCCATTTCTATAACTTAATATATCACAATATCAATTGGAATGTCTGAACTTTTAGACCTTGTCGAAATAAACAAGAGTTATAAACAAATAGAATTTCTCGACGTTACCTCCAACGTGGTTTTGTATTATAGCTTCCGAAGCGGCACTTTGCAAATTAGCATCGGGGTCAACAGCGTCATGATCGTCAATGGTATAATCGACAGATGAGAACGAAATCTGCTGGACCAGACCTGGACCTTGCGAAGATAGACCGGTGGTGGTCTCGGGTTCCCTTTCTACATCAAGATAGTTTTGAGGAACGAAACCTTCCTCTCCTCGGTAATTTCTTGCTTTCAACCATCCGTCGCCATCACCCTCGCCCACTACATCTAGCTGCTCACTTTCCACGATGGAAAGCTCATCGGGATTTTGCGCCTAAAAGAGAAAAATTATTCCATTTTTACAGAATATATCACTTTAATCAAGAATACTTCTAACGCACGCAATACTATGTAATTTTCTGTAATCAACATTGCATGTTCATTTCATAAAATATAATTTTAAAGAATCGCTTACTGTATAAGAGTATAGAGCAGTGCACTTGTATATGGGTTGGTTAGAAGGCATCTCTGGTGTCTCATGTATCATCTCTTGTTCATCTTTCTCTTCGTTGTCCCAATCAACCGATGTGGGATCATCCCAGCCCGCTGTTAGCTGCTCTATTCGTTGCTTCTCCTGCTCGAGCAATGCTAAAAAGATAATTTTTGTTTTCCACATAGCATATACAAAATGTATGAGATAAATTAATGCATATAACAAATAAATTATGTAAATTATGTGACTTATAAAATTTACATACCATCGACCTCAGCACTGTCATGCCTCTGTCTCTCTTCGATTTCCTCTTCCTGTTGTGGCGCATTTTTTCCGGGCCGCTCCAAAGTCGTTAGGTCGCTTCCCCCATCGCCGTCGCTGTCGTAGAATGAGTCCGATGACGGATGTTCCTAAAAGAAATATTGTATAAATACATTTCTTGTGTTATGTATTAGAAAAAGCTATGCACAACTTTTTCGCATGTTTTTATTCTAATCTATCAAAAATAGAATGTATCTATTTCTGTTAGAGAAAAATTCGACGAATTATCCATTTTGATAATTACCGCTGCACCAGATGCATCTGTCCTAACAGAAAGAGAACTGGCCGAGCGCGGCATGTCCTGAACGCTAAGTGTTTCAGCCTCTTGCAAGAATTCGTCTACATTCACTGTAAAAGATTAAGTAGAATAAAATGTGTAAACTTATAGATCAATGTAGAAAATCTTTTATTTTCATTAAAAAGAAACTATTAACAAACCTCCACCGAGTCGAAGACATTCTATCCTCGCTTCTGCCTTGAGTTTTGCTGTCTGTCGGAAAAAGAATATAAATTATGAGCATATATGTTTGTGTCTGCTACGCACTATATAAATCATTACAATTATTATCTGATTTAATTTTCGGATAAAGTTAAAGCTTACCTCAGCACGTCGAGTAGAGTGCTTTAATTCATCAATCTTAGTATCTAAATCTGGACCATTAGGATCGTTCGGATCAGTCTGAAAAAAATTAATTAGAAAGTTGCAATTTATATACATGTACATCGATTATCTTTATAATTAATAACAAAATGAACAAATTATCAGTAGATATAGACTCTTGAAACAAATGTCATTTTTAAGTTTATTGAAAATATAGAATTTCAATGATTCTTTCTGAAATTAGAATGTTATAATCATGTTATTACTGACAATACCTTTTTTGTTTCAAGACAACCAGTGATACGAACCTTCTGACCAGACTCTTTGAGTTGGTATAATACTTGAAGTTTCCGGTTATTTTCACGAACACAGCTGACCTCGCGGGCAATTTTCGTCGACCAGCGACGCGCTTCTTTGCCCAATACCATCGCCGCTGAATGATCGGCAGTTATCCTACATTCGTAAACATTGTTATCTACATTCTCGAATTATCTAGTTATTGAAATGTAGTTTCATACAAAAAGAAAACTTTTTACAACGCTAATTCAGTATTGATTACATATAATACTGATTTCGTTATCATATATTGATACGATTTAAGCTAGAATATTATAATCTATAAATTATATAAAGATCTACAAACCTCTCCACCGGGTCGTAATCGCATGGTTCAAAATCGTATTGAATATGTTGCTTCAAGACAGGATAGTATAAATAGCAACATTGGATATTGTACTCTCTAGTAAGCTGTAATTCAACGCCATTATTCGTAATTTCTTTCCTCGTGATAAAAAATAAAAATTGTCGTACTATCAATGTGATAACAATTAAAAGGGCATAAATATTATATCTCGGTGTAAGTAGGCAAGGGATATAAAATAAACGATAAAATAATAGTATATATAATATTACTTGGTCTCTCTATTCTGATACGACATTTTGAAACGTTTTTAGACATACCTGCTGAGCTTGATCGCGAATTTTGCCAAAGCTATTTTGTGTGGCCATACAAGTAAGCAGCTCCGTGCGTCCCATCAGTGTTAAGTATTCCGCAACTTTGTCGTAAACTCCTTGTTCCAAATACTAAACACGAGACATAAAGATATGCAACAAATAACGGCAGTTTCACATTATATTAACGCATATGAAATAGAACATTTGAAATTACTGTCATGACTCAGAAAGAACTTAGAATTGCGATTTTAATATGGAATTGCATCCTAAAAGACTTTCTGATCTTACTGTTATCTTTCAATTTGCCAATCGCATATCACCATCACCTGTGGGACTTACCTGCATGGTGGACTGTAAATCGACTACAAAATATCGGTTCTGATGGGCATTAGCGGCGGCAAGGGCTAATAGGTAATCATTGCGTGCACCAGTTGATTTCTCCTCCAAAGCGTCTCGCTTTGAACTCACCTGATAATTGCAAATAAAATCATTCAAAGCTAAATTAAAAAGTATTTATTACAAACAACCGATATCTATATAAAGCCATAAGAAATTTTGAAATATGGAAAGATCTCGTGTGATGATTGATGTCTCCAAATATTTGCAATAATCGATTCATTTTCATGCTAAGGGACAATATACCTTGGCGCTATTTTTCTGCAAAGACGTTATTGATTGGAAGAAGGAACCCTTCTTCTTCTTCAGTCTAAAAAATTGATTGGACATGAATTATTTCACTCGCGATTGGACGGCTGACTTATGTATTGTAGTTAGCCAATAATAATGTGCGGTGAGAAAAAAATAAGTTTGTCAAAAATTGTCAAAAAGTTGAAAAGATTGTTGGAATAAAGAAAATATACGTTAAAAGTGTCGAATATAAATATTACAAAAATCATAACACACGCTTCTTCGTGAAATTATTTTTAGCAAGAAATAAAATTGTATCAAAATTTACATTTTATAGAGAGGAAGGAAAAATCACATAAAAGATTTTCGAAAAAGCTTAAAAGAAATGATCAACGACACAATTCGAGATAAACGAAATTTAATATACGTACTTTTCTTCAATATCTTTAGCTTTGTCACGCACATCATGTGCACTGTGTTCTTCGTCAAAGTAAAATTTCTTCGTTTTGTCGACATCCTGTACGCAAGTTTGGAGCTCTTTTTGTACTATCAGTAATTGGTCGATTGCCTAGAAATCCATTTATTACAGAAATTTATATAACACGTCACATTTATAATATAATACTTATACAAAGAATTATCTTTATAAATATCAACTGCACGAAAACTCTGTACATATAGAATTGCCTTATACATATTTTATTTAAAATACATTTAAAATCAATTTTTCTAAATAATTCCGATATTTGTTTCCAATTTATGTTATTATTGTTATATTTATTCATCAAATGTATAATATAAAATCTATTATTAATTTATGGCAAATCTTCTATCAATACCTTCTTAGAGATTTGTAATTTGTGCATCTTGAGGCTCTTAATGTCATCGGCGATCTGCTGCTGGAAGACCTCGACAGCGGCGAGGCGTGCGCGCGCCAGCTTCTCGTTCTCCTCCAGCACGGTTCGCCACACATTCCACATGTTCCTGTAATCATTCGACCGCCCGTCAGCGGATCGCCATTTACCTATGACCCTTCTTCTCCTTGGCAAACTTCCCCGATCGATAAACAGCCGGGAATTGAAACCGGTACAATTCCGTAGAGGTCAAATTCCCGTGTACGCGATACGCGAAAATAATTCGTATTTTTATCAAATCATATGTTTCATTCGTTTCACTCACCCTTTTGTTACACGAGAACGTATAAAAAGTTAATATACATAAAAACTGGTAATAGAAAAAATAGCTAATTAAATGCAGATTATAAAACCAATCTAATTCTGTTAAAATTACATACTGGAAGAGTGCAAAGAAAATTTTCAAAGTGTAAGATTTTCCGGTATGTATATATATATATTTCTGTGATATATATATCACAGAAAAAGAAATAAAAGTTGTATGTTCAGACTTTCGTTTTGCATGGTCTATAAATTACCATTTCTCTTCTGCTCCATCGACTTTGAGATCGGGTATATTCGGTATCTTCTTATTTAAGTATGCAGACGATATTTTGAGTAACGCCTGAAAAGCGGTATATCCATATCACAATTATAAAAAAATTAATAGTATAACAGGTACTACGAATATTTATTAATATAAAAATATAAGTACGCGCATATAAAAAATGTAAATAATTCCTTACCTCGGAGTAGGATTTTTCAATGGCAGACTTTTTTATCGTAAAATTACTGAAAAAAAACAAGAATTACAATTTGATTATCAAAACCATTTAAAAAATTTCAAATTTATACAATTTTGAAGTAATCATATATAACTGGTATAGAGACTTTTTACAAATATAAACTTAGTCCAAAGTGTGAACTCTGTTCTTTTAAAAAGCGCAATATTATACCCAAATATTGTACTTCAATAACAACTCACCGGATGTCTTCCAGAAGATCGCACTCATGCTGGTTTTTCGCCTGTAATTTCGCTGCCTGCTCCGTGTGTACATTTTTCAGAAATTTCGCAAAGTTTCCCTTGTAAACGAAAAAAAACAAATTAAATAAATATAATAGTTTTATCATTTCACTGTTTAATTACAGAACTTTTAATTATTGTACAAGTTACTCAAAGTTTCTTATTTCTTACAATTACTCGAATTCATCTTTCACGCTCTCTTTTCCTCTTTTCACTCCTTACCCAAAGTGTAAATTGAAAATCAATGATAATGAAAGACACAACACAGTGTGTTTTAATATCACATATGAAACGGTATTTATAGTTGTTTCTTGGTAAAGAATTTTTTATAATATCTGTATATATATATATGTGTGTGTGTGTGTGTGCGCGCATGCATATGTATATGAATAAGAAATTCTTCTTTTTCAAGAATCGAACACCGCCCAATGACATAAAAACGATAAATTGCAAAGTTAGAAAATTGCAATGAAAACTGTAAATTGCATGGCTAAGATTAATCGTAATTTCGTAATTAATTTTCCAAGATACAATTGTGATTAAATATATTTTTTCATGAGTAATCATATAATTATTATTTCAAATAATTAATACTATCTATAAATATATAAGAATTAAATATAAATCTAGAAATTATTTACCGACTAGCATTTTGTAAAGATATTTTATTCTTAATAATATTTATGACACACACACACACACACACACACACGCACGCACACACACATAGAGCAGTGTAACGAAATGTCATCCAGAAGTGCACGCTGTCCAAATCTTTTTGTCAAAATCGATAAAAATATTTCCTTGAGATTATTCTATAATTCTACCACTCTATCACTTTTCGAAAATTCCTATATAATATCATTAATTTCACAAATTCTGTAGACGTATATGCCGTCTCTCCATTTAATGTACAAGATAATATCGAAAGCAGATTGCTCGTGAAATTCCAACATGGGGGTGTTAACAGCGATTACGTTGGACGTGCACTCTTTTGCCTTTCGCCTAGTTGCTTCTTCGCTTTATATTAATTCTTTCTTCCTCTCCTTCTATTTCTTTCTTAAAATCATTTAAAACAGATATAATTTTTGAAAATTTCAAGTCTAATGATATAATTGTAGATAATTAGATCTCGCTTTTTCTTACTCTATTTTTGTGCCTTACTATGTATAGTACTGTTATTATATATTTATTATTGCTTCTTATTCTGAGATTAGTATAAAATTAATATGACCACTATCAATCACTACTAACAGATTAAATAAATAATTCTTCAACATTATTTGACTTTCTGCAGAAAACGCGGACCTCGTGAACCGAAGCATATATTTCGTTACCATATTATTTTGGGGGTTTTCGATTATATCAAATCTATTACTAATTCGTAAAATATAATATTAAAAATCCCGCAAAAATATTATAGCGTCATTAAATTATTGTTTTAAACAGATTAAAAGACTGACGAATATTAAAGTTCATTTTTTTCCTGTACAGCTTCGGTATAGGAGAACGTTCCTTACGTTCGACACCCGATATAAGGTCGATTTTCTTGTATAACTATAACATAAGAAGACGACTCTTGCGTTTCGAACGCACTTCGTTTGACGTAAAGACGTTTCTCCCCTACCTACAGCATTGAAAGTCAACTCTACAAGATTACAGCGGTAACAACCCCGTCGATCGGGGGTGAGTTCTCGAGTACGCAATGACTTCCTCTTACTTTTCTCGGCGGTGGTTGCATGCTGAGGCGAGTTTTTCCCGCAGCGCCGGGGGTAGAGGAGGAGGAGGGGCAGTTTTGCTCTCACTTGCCCTCGCTCACTCGCGACTCACCCTCTATGCGCACACACCCCACGCACGCACCCTCGTCGTGCACCTCTCGCGCGCCCGTACGCTACTGATCTCCTGCCCTCCTGAGGCCGCCGCCGGGGGTAGTGCGTCCCTTATTGATCGTCCAACCCCCACCCCTTGATAGCGCGTGCGCCTCCCCCGGGTCGGCGAACGACTTCCTTTCTGACGACCTACTAAGCCTCGAAAGGAAAGAAGATGAGAGGGATAGATAAGGGGAAGGGGTTAATTCCAAGTCCTCATGATTTTAGTCTCTGTAATTTGTGATTTAACATATTACAAATTGATTCGATTAACTATACCGGAATAGACTTTGCGAAAGGATAAAGTAATGACAAAGATGTACTCTGTGTAGATGGAGATGAAAGCTCCATCTGGAATGTTGCCTGTGTGCGAGGGTGGTATTTTTACAATATTCTTCTTACCTCAATTTTTTCTATAATGATCTCAACTTCCTCTTGGAAACACAGATATTATCAAATTAAGAATTGAAATTTAATATAAAAAAAGCAGATCATAAATTCCACCCTTAAAAATTCACAAGAGTCTAAAGACGGATCGAGTAACTACTGAAATAAGATTTAAAAGACTCATATAAATATATAGTCAATATTGCTTAGGTATGAGCTTGTTTTTAAGTTGCCTTTACATCTCCGATAAATTTTCCCTAGTAGGAAATACATTAATAATATAAAGCCCTTTAAGAAAATTGTACCACAAGGAAAATGAGTTTTGAGGAATAAACAGGGCAAAAGTTTATTTATTGAGAAAAAATCGCGTATTCAACTTTATTTATTATAATAGTATAAAACGGGAAAGACCGATGGTAGTAGAAGATACGACAGTAATACATCGATCGTATTCGCAATTATACATATAAGTAAACCTATATACACATATAAACGTTTATATACACAAAGTTGCAAAAGATCACAAAAACTTTATGACAAGAGATGCTAGACGAAGAAATTCATGTCATTCATAGTCTTAATGTAAGTCTTTTTTTCTTAAACACAGTTATACATACCTTGTGAAGGACCGTACGAAGACAAAAGACTGATATTCGTATTAATTAAAAATATTTTTTCGTTCGTCTTTTGACTTCGGTAAACTTTTTTTAGATTAAACCGCATAGATTCGAAACAAAAGAAAGGGAAAGAGCGAAACATTGAATCATGAAGACTGGAGTGCATAGCGCCTTGATATAAACCTTTCAAGATACGTCCTGTTTTAGTCATATGATCGTACACGTCATGTGATACCAAAAACCTGGAAAAAAATGTATGTAATTAATAGTAAAATGCAATAAATGGAGTTAGGTTTACAAAGTAACACAAAAGTTATTTCTTTCCTCCAATTCAATATAAATAAAATTTTCTTTATACAAGGACGCATAAATCCCGTGGCATCAGAAGGATGGAAATTACCTCGCAAATAAGTAGTTCGTTCTTTCTGTCAAGCTTTGGAAATTTCAGGATGTGCTTCCTCGAAAATTCTCAGCGTATAATATCTTCCGTTCTCAAAATCCAATGCATTCCAAAGTCTTAAGAGTCCAATTTGTAAACATTCAAAACAAATGCATCTCAGTCTTTTAAGAATCCAGTACACTCCGGTTTTCAGAATTCAGTTCTCATTCTTCGAGCAGAAGACTACAAGATTTTCGTCAAAAGCTTTTTAAGAACTTAATAAATATTTTTTGAAGTTTGTTTCCAAGATCTGCTTCAAGATTTCTAAATCCCATCCTAGTTTATTCCCATCTTTTACGGTAGCTCGTCTGACGGTAGCTGGCCCAAGTCTTGTTCGCCAGGTCCCATCGGTCCGTCCACATCAGCGTCCGAACCCATAGGAAGGCCAACTACTTCCGGCTGAGAGACCACTCCTTCAGCAACTTGAAGAAGCATAGGATTTCCGGCAGCGTCCAGAACGGGGTCAGCCGTGGCTTCAGCTAGATTCGTCACTGACTTGGATTTAACGCATTGGAAATCAACATGACGACTCTTGGCCTCTTCCTTTTCCCAAGACATATGGATGAAGGGTCGCTGAACATAATTATAGATGACCTCAGCGCGACCGCCGGCGCGTTTCTTCACCTTCTCTTTGTAAGTCGGATAGCCCTCGATGCCTAAACGAATTTTTTTGAGGCCACGCTCCTTCATTACTTGCTTGGCTACATCTCGGTTCTCGATATACTTGAAAAAGCGATACATCGCCGTGCTATTAACAGCTGAAAGTGAAAAGAATCTAATAGACTTTAGTCTTCAGAAAATGAAGAAAACCAAATAAAAGTAATGAATTAAACTGTAATCAAATAAAACCATAAAATGTATAGTATTAACTTTGAAATAAACTTTAGTCTTTAAAGAAAATTATGTTTCTTTTATGTTTATGGCATATACGTTCATTATAATGGCGTTTAAAGTGTATTGGTTAGATCCCACACAAATTCCAGCACTTCCTAAGTGTGCAAGGGGTTAAATATATGATGTACATTACAGGTATTAATATCACATGCTACCTTGAGCATTATTGTTGAAGAAAACAAGCGGAACTAATGGAGATTATGCCTTTAAACACAAAGTTAATCGATTTTGCATTGAACATGGTGTAAGGTTAACGCTTGTTGTATTTCATAACGAAAAAAGATGCCCGTGTTTTCTTAGAGCTTATGAAGGTTACTTATACTTATAGTACGTTATGCGAACTATCGAAAGTATGCATAAAAGACAAGATTTAAAGAATTATTTTAAATGTCTACGCATCTAATATTTCAATATAATTTTTAATAAATCATATAATTTAAATAAAATGAACTGCAAAAACATATACTTAGTATAAATTTAGCGTTTCCATATTATTAGTCGTATTAGTTAAAAACAAAAAGTTTCAAATAATTGTTCATTTAAGACTTAATTTTTTTTTACGACAGAGCTCTCAATTCAACTAGAAATGTACGTAACAATTGTTTCGAAAAATCCTATTTACTTACTTTGGGAGTATTCTTCTCCCATTTGGGGTGGATACTCCTCATCCCAATCGACGACATCGTCCTCGAGCAGTACGACAATGTGGCATTCGCGATCACCGCGTCGCGCACTGTTCACCATCAACGGTAAAATCAAATCTTCTAAGAATACCTCGAACTGACAACGCGCACCTTCGTTTGACAACTCGTGTAGCAATCCTCCTGCAACAACAAACTCTTTAACTTCAAAAATCCTTACAATAAAAAATTATTTATTTCCTATCAGTTTTATTTTTTCCATTTATGATATATTAAATGTCCATGTATTACAAGACAAAGAACACAAACTTCTTCAGAGAACTTATACACGAATAGCTATGCAATAATATACAAAAGCAATATACACATAAATTGTTTCACAATACTCACTGAGATTTTGGCATTTTACCGTGCTAGCGTCAAAAGGCACCAGCAGGTAGTCACAGGCTTCTCGTAATTCTTGAACACTTACAGTCGGGGGACATCGAATTACTCCGCCCTTATAATATTCCAAGATAGCGCGGAAAACCATAGCAGAAATACCATCGGCGACCTCATACTCGCCGCGTTCGTTAGGTTGAGCATATTCCACGCCTGAACTGAACATACGACCCAACATAGTATTGGGATGCGCTGTGAATAAAGCCGGATCAACGATAAATCTGAAACAGAAAAAAAACGATTAAAACGCGAATGGATTGACTAAGGAGAAGGATAAATCAGCAAATCTAATAGAAGAATAATTGAACTGGAGCATCTTTCAACAACGGCAGCAATACATTTGCCGAGATGTACACTGATAACCGTAATTTTTTTAGTAACGTAAAAGCAGGGTCTGGAAAGTTACCTTATAAAAATATCTAGTTACAGTTAAAGTTTTTTTCGCTAAAAATGTAACTGGTTACAGTTACAAGTTAACAATTCTGAAAAGTAAGGACCCGAGCAGAAAGGCTGTCTTGTACTCTTCAGACAATGTTTTGTGTTTTAAATCTTTGTCTTAAAGTAACGCACAATAACTGTCTTGTGACTTAAGAATACAAGACAGCTATTCTGCTCAGGCCCTAACGCGTTACAGTTACTCAAAAAGTAACGAATCGTTACATCACAGTTACTTTCTTGCGATGAAAATAAAAATATCAAGTCTGCACTTGAATTGTTAAGTGTCGATAAAGACGTTTATGTGCAAATGCAAGGTCTAATGGTCTCTGTGGAGGTTTAACAAATATATGAAGTAACTTTAATTAAGTTAGCTACTAGTTATCGAAAAAATGTAACTGAGTCAAGTTACAGGTGGAGAGAAAGCCACGAAGTTAAGTTAGATTTACCCAAAACACGTAACTGTAACTTCGTTAAAAGAACGAGTTACTTCCCTGCGTAAAAGTGACATGTATTTATTATATCAATGCGTTTCTATTATCACCTGGTATTATCGACGATGAGGGTGATCCTTTCATCGCTAGCGGGTTGGTTGCTAACACCGGTGGTAGATGCTGTCGCCGACCCTCCCGACATTGTGATGTCTCTGCTGCTGTTTTGATTTTGATTCTGACTTTGTTTGGCCATATTGACATTTGAACGAATTCTGTGGGAAATATTAATTGCCTCTCTCAATCAGCATGTAATATGTGTTTCTTTTACTGTAGGAAACTTCTTGGTAGATGCATAAGATGATATGATATTAACGCGAATTGTAAGACCTACCTTATAAATTGCGAAGCCGGTAGCTCGATTTTGAGATTTGCAGACATTATAAGAAGAAAAGAATAATTGTTCGAAAAAGTTAGAATGCGTGTTTTATTTCTTTAATATCAATTTTATTCAGTAAAATTTCTGAACTGTTGTTTACAAAAAATAAATAAATAAATAAGCGCACAGGAAAGCTCCCTGCTTTTATTTATTACGTGCATTTACCTGTTAATGAGCCTCGTGCCCTGCGAATTTCTGCCGGAATTGAAAGAATGACAATGCCGATCGCCGCTGCTGTCCCTCTGTACCAGACAAGATTTCGGCTTCGACGAGCCACCACAACTATACATGCACAGAACAACCACGTAATCTTATACTAATCGGCTACTAATACAAGCACCTGTGTGACGTCTCTACCACTATGCTACTTTATAAGAATTTGTTGCTTCCACAACATCTGGTATGTACGAGGGTGAGTCAAAAATTATCCGCACTTTTCGTTCTACAATTTATTTACACAAAAATAGGGGTTCAATATGTACGTCATTTTTCAACATAGTCTCCTCTCTTGGCAATGTACTTGGTCCAGCGGTGCACAAGCTTGCGTATACCTTCCGAGAAGAAGGTTTTCGGTTTGTCGCAAAGCCACTTTTGCACCGCTTCCTGCACGTCTACGTCTGTAGAAATTTGACGACCTCGCAAAGCATCCTTGAGCGGCCGAAACAGATGAAAGTCGGAGGGAGCAAGATCTGGGCTTGCAGGAAGCGGTGCAAATGTGGCTTTCTTCTTGGAAGAAATACACCTTCTTCTTTGGAAGCAATACGCTTGTGGACCGCTGGACCAAGTGCACTGCCAAGGGAGGAGACTATGTTGAAAAATGACGTGCATATTAAACCCCTATTTTTGTGTAAATAAATTGTAGAACGAAAAGTGCGGATAATTTTTGACTCACCCTCGTAGATATATGTATATACACATCTCGCAAAATGCAAATGGTGCAATTACGTTAAAGCCAGATTCCCGTGGTACGAGAGAAAATAACGTGAAACATCTTGGGTATGACTATGATGTGAAAAATTAAACGCCATGAAAATAGTCCTTTCGTTTATACTTAATTATTGCAATAGACACTTTACTCTATCGGGGGGGCGAAGTTGAGTTTTATGTGCCTATACCGTGGTGGGAAAAAAAATTCTATTCTGAAACGTCATGTTGGTTTCAAATGCGACTACTTGAACGATAGTCAGAGAATGTCAATTTCAAAGAGACTATATTATCTATTGTTATTCCGTCTGCGCGCGTGCGCACGTACATACAACAGATATATTGGAAAAGTTCAGATATAAAAATATAGAGATACAAGTTATAGAAGGTAATAATAGACACTGTAATCTCTTTGGAGTAAACATTTATATACATGTAGACATACATTCATATACGTCATATGTATAAGCAGAGTAATATATATATATAGAAACAAATTCTATTCTATAACGTACGAGATGGTTTCTGTGAAATAGAAAAGCTGGTTCTGCAAGTTTCTCTAATTCTTTGCAAGTATAATAATAGGTAAGACGTTGCGTCTCTTTATGTATTTCTCTATATATAAAATTGTCGAATACGTGACATGAAAAGTATTTTATTAAATGTTCGGCAGTAATAAAGAAAATAGAAATCAATGTAAATATACTCGAAACAAATTAATATGTTTGTGAAATTGAGGGAAATGCGTCGCATACACGGCATTTAAAATATATCTATATATTACTGCATCTGAATACAAATGTACGCAAAATAGTGGCGTGTTCATAATAATACGTACGACAATGTTTATACATGTACGAGGTATCAAGGTGTAAATATTAAGGACAAAATTTGAGCGTGTATGTTACGCATTTTCTTCATTGAGTTTAACTGATTTCGTACACTTTCCACTTTGCCAATTAGCAAAATGCATGTAAATTTATATATAAATGGCATGCAAATAATAGATATTCATAAGGGCAGATCTAAGTGCATGCTAAGAAATCTAAAACGTTGTAGAGACAGTAGAGCCGGAGCTGATCTCGCCTCGTTCGTGTACATAAAACTGTAGACTCTAACTTATCGCCGAAAATGTCAACTTTTTTTTTTAAGCTTTAATAGTGATATTCTCTACTTCATAATGTACAATGGTAGCAGCTCGAGTGAATGCATTGCCGCGAATCAATACTTCACGGATGTTGTGTCGTCCAACTCAAAACTGAGTAATTGAAGTTGGCATTGGGAAAATTTGCGAATTACCTCAATCTGTTCTTGTACAAGCGGTGCCTTCCCCTTCCGTCAGACTCCTTATACTCAGTCTCTGTGTCGCTGCTACTGTCTTGCATGTAATTGATGCGCTCCAATGGATTTGTCATGTTGAACCACCTGACGAAAGTAGAAAACATGGAGGGGAAGTCTTCTATTATGAGTTTCTAATATGAGACAGCAGGTTTCCAACACCCAAATTCACTCGCGAATCTTTTTTCCCCCCCGACGATTACACACGATCCGACAATGAATTTTCCACCAAACAAATTTCGCTCCGAGGGCAATAAATTCACGGTGGAACAAACTGACGATGTCTATTAATTTAACAGAAACCCCGCTAACCCATATTAGAATCCTATCTCATAATAGAAGACTTTCCCTCTATATATGCGGTACAAGTGGAACAAAACGTCCGCGGTCTTGCCGTCTTTCCGCAGAACGTCAATTCGACGTTTAGAAAATACACAGTACGCCGAGATAGTTTTCTTACGCTAAAGAAATAGCCTGACCTTTTGACAGATATCTAAAAAAAAAAGAAAAATAATTTCTCTCTCAACTGTGTAATCTCCATCTGCTTATAAACCGAACGTCATGTTCCTTTCGCGTGTCGAGCGGCGATTTGAAATGCTACTTTCATATTCTGCTAGCCGACACACGCAATATACTGAGCTCAATTCAATTTTGCGTATTCCACATGTTTATCAAATACAAAAGGAAAAAAAAACCGTGAAAAGGTGCGGCGAGAAGCGATGTCCTCTAGCGAGACTTTCACGCCTTCGACGTTTAACCTCGTATCGCTCTTTCGTAAGTGTCTTTCGAAATCTCGCCATTCCCGTAGCGTCAACGATACGTCGCACAATACGGCGGACAGCGACGATACTTACGAGCTCGAGATCGAGAGGAGCCAACCGAGCCGTTTTAGAAATCTCTTGGTGGACTGGCAGATCTCCAGATCGTATGAATCGGCAGGAACACGGGCTAACCCGATGACAACGGCTCTCTCAAATTGACGAATGTAATAAATATAACTACGTGCACATGTACACACTCGCTACTACCACTAATTGCGCGTTACAACGATACCGGAGTATATTCCTCGCCATATAAGCCCCGCGCAAGTGCGCGAAATCGGTGGAATTGAGAGCAAGAATGTGCAATGTTCCGGTGCAGTGAGGTTGAGCTGCACTTGCACCGAGCTCCTCCCTCTCGTTTATTGGTCGACCATCTCAGTCAAGAGGGGACACTGGGACTTAAGGCTCTTGCATACGGATCACGGTGACACGTGTAAAGCCTAATCTACATATCCTCAGTGCTCTTTGCGTCTAGAAACATTCTGTTTTGTAGCCAATAAATACGTCTAAAAAAATACGTGCAAGTTTATAAATTATACAATATGCATTATCCTATCACAGTAAAGTTTACTAATCTCAAGTTTAGTAACTTTTACTCTAATTGGTCAAATTTCAATCTAATCTCAATCTCAACCCGTAGTCTGATACGGACTTAAGCCAACGGCACACGATACTATTTTTCCTACTGGATTCCTTACGAGAGCCAACCAGGATTCAGCTTTGAGTCACCTGATTGAAAACTCTGCGTCCTGATTGGCTCTCGTAAGCAATCCAGTAGGAAAAATAGTATCGTGTGCCGTTGGCTTTAAAGCCAACGACACACGATACTATTTTCCTACTTTGCTTACGGGAGCCAATCAAGATGCAGAGTTTTCGATCAGGTGACTCAAAGCTGAATCCTGATTGGCTCTCGTAAGGAAAATCCAGTAGGCAAAATAGTAATACTAGGGCCCGGTTTCACCAACGCGAGTTAAGCCCGCTGCAGACGATGCTATTTTTCCTGCTGGATTGCTTGCGATTTAGTAAATTACTATCATTGCACCACTCAGCATTCAGGATTCCTAGTAATTTACTAAATTGCAAGCAATCCAGCAGGAAAAATAGCATCGTCTGCAGCGGGCTTTAATCTAATCGGTCGGTTAACTTGACAGGGTGCCAACATAAAACTTCTTTATTAACCTATTTTCTTGGTTAATAAAGAAGTTTTATGTTGGCACCCTGTCAAGTTAACCGACCGATTAGATTAACTCGCGTTGTGAAACCGGGCCTAGGAAAAATATCGTGTGCCGCTGACTTTAGAGGCGCTTTTATCGATGAAAGATAATACAGAATACGGGCCAATGATTAGGCTATTGATGTATAAATTGAGAATGAAATTGAATTAAAATTTTGACCTCGGAATAAAGTTTATTAGACTTTGGATTGAGGAACTTCTGCGGGAGCAAAGTGCGGGCTTGAGAGATGCCGTTTTCCAAACACTCCAGCAGAACTTTAGAAAACGAACTCTCCTATTGGACAATCGGACGGTGGACATCGAACGCGGGTATGACGCGGTGTGCATCTCACATTAGTCAATGCTATTTATACGCTAGTGTATACAATCCTTAAGTTGTAGCACAATTCTTTTATTTACAGGCAGGCAAATGCCGTTTATGAAGTACACTTTTTCGTAACCAAGTATTACAACGAAGTACGAAAATACCCCTTTCACGACTGTATGCAACGTAACGACCCATTTATGTCATTCATCTCTCGAAGATGATCTCGCATGTGCCGAGCGTGATCGTGGGTGCTTCCAGTTTCGTGTACACTTGCTACATCTTGTTCAGACTGACGTATTTCTTATCAAAAGACTCTTATGTCGACCGTGAAAGTCTACATACGTTGTCAGGTATGCCCTTGTTAAATAATGTCAAACTCTGATATAATAATTTCCTCCTATTCTTATATCTTGGCTTGTGTACATGCATATTCATTTCAAAGTCACGAATGAACTTTCTGCTGCAATAGTTTCTACAAATAACTCGATTGTTTTCAGATGACGATACAGCTGAATCCACGCTATGGTCTCTCTTAGTAAATATGTTACTCCTTACAATCTTTGTTTTTCAACATTCCATCATGGCCAATGACTTTACTAAGCAAACCTTCTGTAAACTACGCATTGAACATCTCAGCAGGAGTATTTACAATGCCTGCAGCTCGGCGAGTCTTCACTTCATGATCAGTAAATGGCAGCAAACTCCAGCTGCAACAATGTGGAAGTTTGAGACTTCCAACCATCTATTCTGGTTGTTTTCCACCGTCCATTCGATAGCTTGGGTTATTATTTACAGTGGATGTATTATGATGGACATGGCTGAGCTCTGCGGGCTCAAACAGATGTGGTACAGAGTGACTGAAAGAGATAGTCCGTTGGATGCCAAATCTAGGCAACTGCGCAGATATATGAGACACATGAGACATCCTAGTTTTACTGGATTTCTTATTATTCTATGGATTTGTCCTATCATGAGGTAAGATTGTACAAAGCTCAATTTAATTCCTTACATCTACAATAGCCTTTGTAAAAACAATATGTATATACATAAACTAAGTGCCATCAATTTATAACTCATGCTAAATGATTTTGAATATCTTTGTAAAGTATATAATGTACAATATTTATAGATTGGCAGTTTATTATTTTATTTAAATTTTCAATCATAGAACGAGTCTTAAGAAGGAATAAAATGGGACAATTAAAATAACTGATGAATGTAATTTTGTTACAGTGCGGATCGGCTGTTATTGGCCATCATATTAACATTATATATGCCATTGTTGTGGACAATAGATTCCGAAGACTATAATTATCACATCAGATATTTCAAACAGAAGCAGATGGAATTGTCTTAATTACACTTTTTATTTTTCTCCATCTTGATTTTTCGTCTCTTCAACATTTTTCTCCTGATTCTCATTAATTTCGTATCATATTTATACAGATTAATATAAATATTGATTAACATATTTATATAGATTGACATAAATTAACGAATATAATATATACTTTTATTTTTGCGACTTATGTGTATGTATATTGTATTTTGTGACAATGGGACACTTAACTTTATATACAAAATGGTGTATTTTCTTGCAATGAAAATAAGAATATCTAATCTGCATTTGAATTGTAAAGCGTCGATAAAAGCGTTTATGCGCAAACGCAAGGCCTAATGCGATCTGTGGAGATTTGGAATATGTATAAAGTAATTATTAATGTAACTGTGTGAGTTAACAAGTAACTTTCAAGTAAGACCCCTATCTAAAACTAAACAATATATGGTAACACGCCAATGTGGGTCGCAAGGCAAGATGTAGGTAGCCCAACTTAATCTTAAATCTTTCTGAAAATCGTGACGCCCGTCACGGATTGAGGGAGGTCCCAGGTTCGAATCCTGGTTGGGGTAATATTTTTCGCAATAAAATTAATTTACAGGACGGGGAAAATGGGGGGAGGGAGAGAATTGAATGCTAAATATAGCATCAGAAAAATGCGAATTGTATTTGAAAAATAATCATCGAATCGAATACGTGAATCTGCTGACGACAATATTTCCACGTATATGATAAACTGTGTTATGTCCGGAAAAGAAATCGGCGCGTAGTACTAATGTGGAAAAGAAACGGTATATAGATTCACGATTTTCAGAAAGATTTAAGATTTACAAAGTTGGACTACCTACATCTTGCCTTGCGACCCATATTGGCGTGTCACCATATATTGTTTAGTGTGAGTTAAGTTACACTGTAACTTCGTTATAAGTAACGAGTTACTTCTTAATCCTGTATCATAGATATAACTAATAAAAGATACAAAAGTTTTAAATCACATTTGTTTTATTGTTGTTCCCTGTTTCTTCCAACTTTATTTTTCATAGTTAATTTTTGAGTTTTTAAACTTTTAGTATTTGTAAAATATTTATAGCCGAAGAAAACTTATATTTCTTTACCAACTAATAACTATGTTACTTTGCCGATTAGTAACAACTAACAAACCCCATTTTTTTTGTAACGGTAGTTCTAATTAAAAAAAGGTCTCTTACACGTTATTATAAGGAATTTTATGAGGTAACAATCTCTTTACCAATTGTGTTCTCTCGATATACTTTGTCATCCTTTTGTAAGAATTATTTTTGCAAAATCCAAATCGCGTTTTTCAAAATTTTAGGTAGTGCAATCTCCTTGCGAATTATGTTCTCTTTGTCAATTTTCAAGATTTTATTTACCTTTTTCATTCGAAAAAATGAATTTTTGAAATCGCAATTCTTATAGCGAATTCGGTTGCTTGCACTAGTGCGCACTAAGTGCACACTAAGGCTTGTTTGTAATCAGTTCTTATACATATTTAACTTTGTCTTAAATACATGTTCAAAGAGTATTTAGTCACAAAATGATCTCTTTGTCAACTGTGTTCTTCTGATGCCTTTATTAGTTTCCGTGAATTTAAATTTTCGCATCAAAATCTTCAAATTTTAAATCATAATCGGCGCCAAAAAACTGATACTTTTTTCAGTAATATCAGATAAAAACCTAAGAGCGGCCACGCCGGCGTTTTACTTCATACCGTTTCAAGAGACTGTTTTGCGCGCCTTTACGCCCATTTTTACTTTTGCAACTATTTTGCTACATTACAATAAACTAATTTGCTATCCAATGAACGAGCTCGTACGGAGGGAAGTTTCCTAGGACTTTTAGAACCAGAGAGTCGTTGAATAAACGTAGAGCTGGCGAGAGATGGCGCGACGTATAAGCGTGCAATCGCAGACATGTTGCGTGTACATCTCGCGTAAATCTGATTCATTCTTACACGGATTCTGCGAGGGTGGTCGTGTGGTGCATGTAGACACAGCCTGGCACGTAATTCTGCGGATTTCTCAACCGTTACCATGTCTTCAGGTACGTTCTCGGTCGGCGTTACGTCAACTCCTGGTGGAGGAGAATTTTTTTCGAGCACCAAGGTGACCTCCGAGCGCCGTCCACGTCGCCGTTCTCGCCCCGCATGTTCGCACCTAACCAAACTCCACGCGACGTGGTCACCATGCTTTCGATATTGCACGAGCTGCTAGGCGCGCTTCGATGCTCGGCGGGACGTCGCGTTCTTCTAACAATACGCCCGCGTGTGTGTTCGCAGGCAAGAAGAACAAGAAGAAGAAGGGAGTGACCGTTAACTTGTATTCATTCCTGGCCGACGGAAATGGCCCGGCCCCTAATATGCCCATGAAATCGTCTAATTGGGCTGACGATGTGGAGGACGATCATGGTAAGTCGGGGGGGAATCGCCTTTGTCCCAGTTTGCGATCAAAGCTCGATCGTGACTTTTACTTGTATCTTATTTAAAAAACATGCAGTTAGATTTCAGCACTAATTGTTATGCCTAAGTACTTATGTATTTATGCGTTAGAATTATATAATTATTACGTTAAGCTGTAAGCGTTATGTATATGTACGACATATAAAAAATTATTTTGCCATGTTACAGTTGTAATAAAGAAAGAAATGTAGCAGTGCTATAGTCCTTTTTAATAAGTTTATATTAATATCTGATATTGTAAAAATACATTTGATTTCTTAGAAGGATTTTCATCGAGGAGCAGCAAAGACCCGGTTATACTGCCGACCGCTCCAAGGGCTGCACGAGGACCAGGGATAGATGAGGAAAATATCCCTACAAGTCCTCCTTATGTAGCCTACATAAGCAATCTGCCGTACGATGTAGATGAAGCTGATCTGGCAGATTTCTTTGCGGAAATGAAGGTTCGTTACCTTTCAAAGTATCTTCGTTATCTATAATTCGTAAATCTCTTACTTTGTACAGTCAGGTCGCTTGAAAAGGACCAAAACCTATGGTCGAAACGTAGCGAGTCCTAAACATAAAAATTGCCAGATACAGTCAACCAAATTTGATGTTGTTTATTATCTATGTTCAGGGTTGGGTGGTGTCTGGTTAAAAAGATACAAGTTAAATCAAAGAGTCAAAAAGTTAAATAATTTTAACTTAGTTACATTATAGACTGTTAACTTTTAACTGAATTTAGTTACATTTTATCGGTAACTTTTAACTTTTAATTTACCTCTTTTAGGCCTGGTTTTTCATTTTCTAGTTAAATGTTAACCAGAGGTTACTCGTTTACCTGTTTCTTAGAAAATAATATAGAAAAAGATGGAGAGCTGACCATAATATAACTGGTAGGTCCACTCTCTGTCGGCCCCTTTGATCTCTGCGGTCCTGATCACGTGGTATTCCTTTAATCACCCGGGCAGGATCCAGCGATGTGTGTATGTGTGTGTGCGTATACGTTCTCGTCAAAGCCACACTACCGCACATACATCTTTTCTATCATTGGTCTGCAATGTCGGAAACAAATCATGACGGAGTGGACCTAGTTATACTTTGGAGTCGACTAACTTCTGGTTAATAGTTAACCAGAAATTGAAAAACCGGGCCTTAATGTTTTAATAGAACAATTTACGATATTTATTAAGGCTAAACATATGTTAAAAAATGTAACATGAAACATAACATATTGAAATAGCATGGAACAAATTACTGAAATTACATATCATTTTCAGGCTATAAAAGCAGTAACATGTCTTAAAAAAGTAAACAGAAACTAGTCTTAGGTGTAAATCTCTTTGGTTTAGGATACAACATTGACGTTAGAAATGTTTACTAAGGAAAATTGCGATTTTTGGCGTTATTTTGGACGCTATTTTGCGTGTCGAGGGTCATTTTGTGTTGTAAAAACATGTTAAAACGAAGTTGGGGATTCCAAAATGTAAAGAAATGACATTAAAAACGTTCCTGGGGCATTTTGCGTATTAGTGCCCATCTACAATAGAGATTTAAACCCTAAGCCTTAAAGAAATTAACTAATCACAGTCGCGTATTCTACTCATACTTGACCATGATTGGTCAATTTTTTAAGGCTTTGGGCTTAAATCATCTATTGTAGACTGGGACTAAAGATAACATCAAAATGTCACACCTCTAACAATAGATGATTTAAGCTTTAAGCCTTAAGAAATTGACTAATCACGGTCAAGTATGAGTAGAATACGCGACTGTGTTTAGTCAATTTCTTAAGGCTTGGGGTTCAAATCTCTATTGTAGATGGGCACTTGTGCGCAACGGTTCATCTTTCTTTTTTAGATCTCAAAAATGTAACTCGTTACTGTTACAGTTACTGATTTTCAAAAGTAATCGTTATCGTTACCGTTACTTAAAAAATGACAAGTCGTTACTTTTTTAATTCTGAAACGAGATCAGGCAAACTGAAACATCTACTTTTGAAATATTTTTTTATTAACAAAGATAATAATAAAAACAATTTTGTATTTTCAAGTTATGAAACCATGACAAATTTAAGGAGAAATTTTGAAACCCAAAATGTAAATAACCAATTTTTATTTCTATGAAGAGTATAAAGAGTATAAGGATACTGTAACGCGGCGTTACAAGTATCTTTTTATTTTTCACGCCTCAATTGCAAGTTATGTGGTTTCTTTCTGTTTTACAGATTTCAAACATGCGTTTGCCAAAAGACGCAAATAAAATTAAGGGCTACGGTTATGTCGAATTTGAAGATCGCCAGAGTCTCATTGATGCTCTTTCAATGACAAACACGGTAAGGGAATGGTACTTGACATTTATTGGCGAGAAAAATGAGAGTTGCTGAATATAATGTCATATCTCCTCCCGTGTAGACGATTAAGACGAGACGAGTAAGAATTGAAGTCTCGAACAGCAGTAACGATGATCGTCGAGGTGGTAGGATGGGTAGAGACAACCGTAGGGACAATTATGATGATCCGGAACGCACGTCCGGCGACTGGAGAAGTGGACCGCGTGAGGAATTGCCGGAGGGAGATTCGTATCGTAGTCGATACGATAGATCTGGATTTGACAGAGATCGAAGAGAAGAGAGTATGCAGATGTTTATCTAAATTTTATATTTGCACAGATAAATGAAAGCTTCGATAAAGATTAATTCTCAAATAATTATTCTATAATGGAGAAACATTTTTTTATTGAACAGGACACGATTACGATAACAAGCCAGGTGCATGGCGCGAGAGAGACAGCAATGATAAGGGATCCGCGTTTAAAGAAAGGGGATTCAGAGATGATAGCAGGGATAGAGACAGGGACTGGAATCGTTTTGGTGATCGAGGGAGAAGCAGAGAGAGAGACGGGGACAGGAGCAGTAGTTTCGGGCCACGTCGCAATTATGGCGATTCTTCTGATTGGAACCGTGATCGTCGAGAGCGCCAAGATCTAGAGCCAAAACGTAAGTGTATAATTGTGCATTGTTGTAAGTTACACGAAGAATATCGTATCTCTGTTCCAATTACCGATATCTTTACGATTGTTCAGCCGAGTCACGGCAAAGACCGAAACTGCAACTGCAGCCTCGCACGAAACCCGTTGAGGCCATTGTAGGTGGGGAAGAATCGGCAGTTAAGGACGGCACGACGGAATCGAAATCAACGGAATCGAAATCAACAGCGGATTCGGAATCGACTCAACGGGCGCCAGTGTCCGTGCCGGCGGCCAACATTTTCGGTGCTGCGAAACCTGTAGATACCACTGCCCGTGAGCGAGAGATAGAAGAACGTCTCGCCAAGTCGTACGCGGAATCACGATCCCGAGAGGAGTCGTACGTGTAACACATATCAAGTTATTAGTGTGAATTATGCCATTTTATTTATTATTCGAAATTTCATAAAAAGAAATTGGCATTTCACGTCAGGAATACTACGTTTAATTCTCATTAAATTTGCGTAAGAATGTTCGTCGCTGTTAGAAAGTCTGACATATTTTCTCTTCAGGGACACTAAGGAACGTAGAGACGGTACTTGGGGTCGACGTAATGGCGTAAGTTTTTCAAACTGAGCACAAGGAATATGTTTACATCTATAAATAGTCGTGACGTAAATAATTTTCGCTTGCAGGAAGGACGCGACGACAAAGATAAGGACAAGGACAAAGATAAAGAACAGGACAAGGAGGAGGACAAGGAGGAGGACAAGGAGAAGGAGAAAGAGAAAGAGAAGGAGAAGGAGAAGGAGAGGGGGCGACCAGCTTGGCGATCAGAAGAAGATAGAGGTACTCGGCTTGAAAGATCCGCGCCGAGATCTCAACCAACTCCTACTCGTTCTGGTAAGTTTCGGTCGCCTTTAAACATTCATAAAATTTCGTCATTTCGCATGCAGACGTTGGCAAATGTGACATGTATTGTATTTTTAAAGCGGAGGAACAAAGTGGACCCAAAGCATCACCAGCCTCACGTTCTGGGCCACCGACATCCAAAGGACCTCAGAAATCCGCCGAGAAAGATACTCGTGCGGTGGAAAGGTATTGACAGAAAAAAAATGCAATCTGTTTAGCGATATACGCTAGACTTGCGCTTACACTTATACTTTATTTCCCTTACAGAGATCGCAAAGACAAAGAAAAAGATGAAATCAGTAGAATGCCGAAGGCAAAAGACGAACAAGCTCCAGTGAGTAAAATATGAATTTACGTGAAACTGTGATGAATATAAAGAGATGGTATTAATATATGGTTTTTTTTTTTAGAATTTTGTAGCTTCCAATAAATATTCAATGTTGCCGGACGATGTGGATCCCGACAACATCGATGAATAGTCTCTGACTCTAATTTGCAACACACACCTAAATTGTGCCACATGCAACACACAATTATGCATTATCACAATTTGTTTTACTTCTGCTACTACATAAAATCATCGTAAGTCAGGCGTTGTACTACTTTATTGGAATTATTGTTGATTTGTATTTAATCTCTATTTTAATATTCTCAATATAACTATATTTCTATATCAACTTATACATTTACTTTGCATTTCGGCACGAAGAATTTTGGCATTGTTAATCCGCAATGTCGCAAATTTCTCGTGATTACCGAATGATCAATTGCATCAAACTTTTTGTATGTTTCCAAGAATAATCACACTGTATATGGGGTGTAGCAATTGGAACTTTATACATCATACTTAATCTGCTGTACAGTAATTGTACGATATGTGACTCGTTTACATGTAATATAACAATGCCAATATAGAAGGAAATTAAAATAATAAGTATATGGGAACACAATTATTACGTTGTACTTAAATTATTTCTCCCCACATTAATCCCTGTGTATTTACATATTTTTTTACATTGAAAATAATTTTGAAATCGACGGATAGTAAAAAAAGTACTTGTAAAAATACAACGTATTAAGGGATTTGTGATGTAAAGAACAAATATACTTTTTTTTTAAATAATAAATAATTACCTATATTATAATTCATTGTCAAGAATTCTTGCAATATTCATATATAAAAATTAATGTTTATATACCGGAGTACATATATTTCCGCCTATATTACATTATTGATTCGAAATCCTATTGCTGTTGAGTGGTTTGTGCTAGTTGACGTAATTGTTTTAATACAGTTTCAAGTAATTTCTTTTTATCCCTTTCGCTCTTCTTTAATACAGAGAACACCGTTTTCTTATCAGACTCCTTCAACCTAAAAAGATATATGTTAATAAAATAATGCACATTAATACATACAAAACAGATATGCAAATAACATATGCAATAAATACTTTTCTAGGAGAAGCACAGCCATATTAGGGGTAACTAAATCATATTTATTAGAGTCATGACCGTAGTCGTGAAAATAAGTAGGCCAGTCCCAACTCATAAATAAATCTAATAACTGTCGTAATTGCGAGAAGTATTGCAATAAGATTCCTTCTGGCAAACCAACGACTGGCTCAGAAGCAGCAAATTCTGAAAATTACAACCATTTGAATTATCTTCTCACGAAATATGCATCGTATTAAAATATTGCGTAATGAAAGACATAAAAATTTACGTTCGCATTGTATCGTATCTAGGTTGACTTGTTGTAATGCACCCATGGATATCTGTTTCACATCTTCACTGATTAATATGCCTAATATGGCTTTAGCGATGTGACAACACGCGGATTTGCATGCCACTTGAGCTACTTCTTCCTGAAATGTTAATGATCGATTATTGTATATTAGAAACCATATACATATGTAACCGCATTATGTTGCAATATTTACTGGCAAATTGGTGAAGCATGTGAAAGTGCTCTGCAAAAACGCGATGAGATCCGTAATAAATCCCGAGGCATGTCCTTGAGGTTCTGCCAAGTTCCAATCGTAATTCTCCAATTCTAGAAATTCATCTAGCTTATTCTTCAGCTTATCGCAAATTTGTTTCTCAGCATCATCTCGTGCGACCCGAAACATGGCAGATTCTACGCCCATAGAACTTAATTGCCCTTGATGCGATGTGCTAAAAAAAAGAATTGAGATGTAACTTAATAAACTTACAAAAAAGGACAATAATTGTTAGATACTTACCCAGTAATATTAGTCACAAATTCTTCTAAATACTTGGTAGATTTCTCGAGATATCCCGTATTTATTATAATTTGTACCACTTGCAAAAGTGCTAAAGACGGCTTGCGAAACAAGGATGACAAGCATCCGCTGAAAGTTCTCGTTAGCAGCAGATTCGTTGATTTGCATATCATTTCGTCAATCTCCGTTTGCGTAAAGTTCAAGTCCTCTGAAAATTTTAAGCAAGCGTAGATGAACTCTTTCACCTGCTGATAAACCTTCGGTACCATGTCAGAAAATGGAAATTTCTTCGGAAATTCGGCTTTCTGCAATTCCTCGTCGTGATAAGGGAACAGATTCAAAACTTGGTCGTATTCCGCTTGCGTTGTAACCTGGAACGTGATAACCGAGTAAATAAACGATTTAATAAAAATTGTTTCATAGGTATGCATAAATGATAATTACTTGAATTGGCAAGAAACTATCTTCGTCCAAAATATCCCTGAATACTTGAACCCAATGCTGCATTAGCACTTCGTTGTAATGAACTCTAATTTCTTGTAACAAATCCCACAGTTGTCCTACGGAGTAGCCATAATCCTGTTTACGCATAATACACAAAAATTGAATTTATCTGCATTATACATGTACATGCATATACATACAAACAATGAATGCACTTTACTTACTCTTAGAGTAGTATTAAATAACATAATAAGATTTTTTATTTTTAGTATGAGCGTAGCGTCTGTGCAATATGCCTAAAAAAAAACACATATTCTTATATTAAAATCACACAACAGAATGACAGTCTTGCTGGATCGTGCCAGATATTTGTGCGTATACATTTTTATTCTTTTACATTAATTATATTAATTGTATAAAATATAACACTATGTATGTAACAATTTACCGAATGCGTGCGTAAAGCATTCACTATGGTGGACAGTGCCATGGTCCATAGCTCGTCCAAGTATGCACGGGTGGCTAGTCTGTTACCCGTATTCAGTATGTGATCCTCTACGACAAAGAAACCAATGATACCGTGCAAGTAAGTTTGATATCCGATTATACTCTCGTGCTAAAAATAAAAAGATGTTTGGTTATTAGAACACGGACATACAGATATAGCGGTACTCGACGAGAGCAAATTACCATATTGATGGGCGGCTGCAAAACTAGTCTAGCTTGCTGTTTCCTTTGCTGCCTATAGTACGTTGTAAAAGTTTCTCCTTCACGGAGCACAGTATAGATATGCATACATCGATATACAGGACTGAAATCCATTAAATCTTGAGCACTCAGTTCCTCCTCGACCTCGTTCGACTGATTCGCGTTAGCTCTCTTTTTCTTCCATCCCGTAATTTCTGCCTCAGTCGCCAACTGTTCGGCGGTCTAATAAAACGTTGTCAAAGTTAACAAATCACATAGATAATAGGTATATCCAGTTGAGTAAAGGGGAATCACTCACATGTCTCATTGCCACTTCCCCGATCTTTGGCGAATGCTTTCTTATATTTTCTAGGAAGTCCCTCAAGTCGGACATAGACGCATCCTTTATATTCTCGCGCAATCTGTAACGAGAAAGACGGGTCAGTAATGCCTATGCGATATCGCGTATAAGAGAGAGATACTCCAAGATTCTTCCAATCGAACTTACTGTGGAATTTGCTGTGTAATTTGAGAGGAAAACCTGTAATTCGTAACTTTCGGCAGATCGTGATGCTCCAATTGCTCCAGCGTTTTCAGGGCTGGATAGTAACGTTTGTCTTTCAACTGCTTCTGCAACTTTGCGTACGCGGCTAGGACAGGAAGGCACATCGTGAGACTGTCCACGGCAGCAGCCATGTTGCTCTCGACTTTGCGAGCTTTTACAAGCTCCTCGCCCTTCTCGATCACCTTGGTGGATGTGGCGGTGATGCATTTGTCGAGCTCCAATATTTCCGCCTGCGTAACGAGGTTGAATCAGGTATTAAACAACATTTCGTGTATGTGAAAAATGATGTCGCGGCGTCAAAGAATCAAATACCACTGCCACCGGCTACTTTCTAAGTGCAGCACAACTAACATTCAATTGCTGCGCCTGCGAGCGGACTTGCAAGAGCTCGCGAATGGAATCGATAAATCCCTGGTAGTGGTGATTGCACATCCTTTCGATGTCCTTGTCGTGAGCCTTAATGCGGTCATCGAGCTTCTCCATAAATTTCTGATGCTCGTGGCCATCGTAAATCGCTCTGCAACATAGAGTCGGGTATGACAACAGTCTCTCTCTTTTTTTTTTCTTTATATGCCTCTCGGCGGCACGGCTTTCTTAATTCTCACGCGGTTTATTCGCATCCCGGCGATACCTGAAAACGAGGCCTATGCTATTAGTGTCGGTCGATTCTATCTCATAAAGTAGGTACTCGTGCTTCGGCACCATGGACGACAGGAGGTTTTGCACCAGATTAATTGACATTCCCGACAGCGTCGCGAGAAATTACGCGTCGGAAAATCGGAGAGAGTACGAGTAGGCGCGTCTATGATGCCACCCTGTGCCACCCCTCGTTCAAGCCACCCCCCCTCAAGTGCGCATATGCGGGCTCGTTGCATCTGCGTGAAAGGGGTGGATTGTGACATCGGGTGGGCGGACGGGCGCGTACTTCGAGCCGGGACTTCCCCCCCCGATTTCCGTCGGCTTCGCTCACCGGAACGTCGGGCCCAGGTAGTCGTCGATGCCCTCGATCTCCTGGATCAGAATGTCGTACCGCTGCATCGTCGCTGACCTCAAAGATACACGTAGCCGCCGATCGACGAGCTTGACGTTCGTTTGACAGACTCGTCGCGACAGACCGATGACGAATGTCTCCCCCCCTTCCCCCCAGTTAAACTACATTTGAATTGTGACGTTTCTATTTATCGGCGCTTCATCGATCCACCGTGCTAATCCAATTTTACCCTTGATTACAGTGTTTTAATGACAAACGCTTTTTTTCGTAATTTACACCGCCGACGAGAGACCACAGAATTTCCGTCGAGTTTCCGCAGCTTGAAAAATTCACTATGCGTTGGCGCCCTCTTAAGGTACCATTTCATGCGCAGCATACTGCCGCAGCAACTCGCTGCTATTGGTTGAAGAATTGTTACTAGATGCTGCAAAATAAATTTCACCATATTTTGCTTCATCGCTGTGAAGTTCAATTGAACGAACAGCAAAGCAGCAGACACGCGATCTAGGATGTGTTCGAAAATGGATTTAGTTACTGCCAGTGAAAACAGTATAGTTGGTAGCAATGAAAATTACTGGTGCTGCGTTTTTCGCACGCCAGTAAAGTCAGTAAGGCTGGGTTTACATTGGATGTCGTAAGTCGAATAATGAACTGTGATTGGTCAATTCCTTCCGACACGACTTACGACATCCAAATGTAGACCCAGCCTTACTGA